CACCAGGAAAAACAACAGCGGTATCTCAGGAGAGCAAACTGTATCTGATGGAATACACAGACACAGCCTGGCTCTCAATGTCAGAACAAGCTGAAGCATATGTATTTTCATTTTTTTACCGGTTTACGTGTTCTTTTGAGGTGCAGGTAGACCCGCTGGCCTGTTTTCTGATAGTGCTTTTCCACATACTGCTTCCCAAAGCCCAGGAACGTGTTCATGCAGATATACAAGCCGCCATCTGACTCCTGGAAGGAAGGAGGGACAAAACTGAAGGGAGGTGGTAAGGAATGGCATTCCAGCTGCTAGGATAGGCATGACACACTAGTCATTATTCCTTAAGTCATGGCAACAGCTCATTCCTACATAGTAGCCACAAGCAGTAAGAAATAGGATGGCAAGCCCCAGCCTGGCTGTCCCAGCAGAACAGGTACTCCCGTCATGATGATGTATTTAAAAAACTATTTGCGTGTTCATTTATGGCAGGATGCTACCAAATCAGGAAAGCCTGAGTTTTCACAAGAGTTTATTTTGTAAAAGGCCCCTAGTACGCACAGTTTACAAGTTCAGAGCATGATACAATCATTACCAGCAAAACTGTGCCACCCTGTCCAAACGCGTGACTCCCAGTGCCATAGGGAATGCTGCCAAGCTACAGTGTGAGGAAGGTTGACAGGCCACCGTTTACTTTTGCTGCTGTGTTCAAAAGCCTGTGAGCAGTTTGGAAACAGATACAGAATGTGCCCCCACCGTCCCATCAGCAGCTGGAAAACACCCACTCATTCAGCAGATACCCTTTTCAGATTGAAGGGGCAGGGACCCAAATGCAGAGGCTGGAACGGAGGGGAACCACCAAGAAGCTTTCAGAAGCTGCTGGGACTGAGACGGAGTGAGCAGTGCATGGTCAGGCATCACTGTGGAGCTCGGGGAGAGAAAGAGCCAGGATGCCATGTGCTGCTGCCTCGAAGGACCCGTATCTTCCAGCTGCAGCCCGTTTCTGCCGGGCTAGGGCTCGGCCCGGCCGGGCACCCGTGAGGAAGCTCAAGGGGCACCTCGCCCTCCCGCTGCCTCCGGTCCCCTCAGGCCGACCAGGGGTAGCGCAGGAAGCGCAGGGATGTCAGCGGGGTGGAGATGGCTGGAGAAGGGACCACTGCCATCTTAATGACACAGCAGCGCCTCGCCCCCCGCCTGCCAGGCCACGCTGCGCGGCGAGGGCGGGGAGGTGGCTCGGACCCGGGCAGGGCGGGACCCCCGGCCCGCCCGTCCGCCGCCGGGGGCGGGCCTGGGACGCGCCCGACCCCCGCCCCCCGCTGGGGTACAAGTCCTGGCGGGCTCCCGCACGGGGATTCGGGCTGGGGGCGCTCCCTCTCCGGGGCTGCTGGCGGGCCGGGCTGCCGCTGATCGGGGCGAGAGCCCTGCCCACGCCCGCCCCGGCCCCAGAACTACAGCCCCCAGCGCGCAGCGGGCGGGCGGGGCGCGCCGCGGGGCACGCCGGGCACAGTAGTCCGCGAGGGCCCTACGCGCCGCCCGGGAGCGGCCGCCGCGGCCGCCGGGGAACTGCAAATCCCATGAGGCACCGCGCGGGCTGCGCCCCGGCTGGCGGCGGGGTGGGAGCCGGCCGCGGCGGGAGCAGCCCGGGACGGCGGGCGGGCCGGCGGCGGGGCGCGCTTACCGGCGTGTCGAAGGAGAAGGCGCACTCGTCCTTGTGGACGCGGTCGCCGGCCTTGGGCACCCGGATGGACGGCAACACCGACAGCAGCGCCTCGCTCAGCTCCGCCATGACAGCGGCTCACCGCGGCACCGCCCACAGCCCCGCCCCGCCCAATCGCAGCCCAGCGCGGTCAGGCGGGTCCTAACCAATCGGCAGCGAGACTGGAGGCCGGACTCGCCGTGCCGACCCGCCGGCTCAACCAATAGCAATCTCCCTCCGGCCATCGCGGGAGGTGGTGCCGGGCTTCTCGACCAATAAGAGCGTAGCGAGGGGCGAGGGGGCGGGTCTGTCTAGGGAGATTGACACGGGGCGAGGCGGGACGTGACGGGCGGGGACCGCGGAGCGGACCGGCTGGCGGGGCGGGGCGGTGGGCGTGGCGCGGCGAGCCCCGCCCCCCCAGCGACCAATGGGCGGCGGCACCGCCCGGCGCGCGGGAGATTCGAACGGCGCGTCCGGCGGGCCCGGGGCGCAGAGCGGCCCCGCCGCCATGGGGGCCTCCGGCAGCGCCCCCGCCACCCCGGCCGCGCCCCGCAACAAGCACCTGGCTCACGTCAGCGACCCCCGCTCCCCCACCGCCGGCATCCTGCGCACCCCCATCGAGGTAGGAGCCCTCCCGCCGCCGCTTCCCCCTGCGTGCCTCCGGCCCTCCGCCCCCACGGCTGCCCTCTCCGCAGGTTGTGAGCTCTCCGGCGGGCAGCCCGCAGCCCAGCCCCGCCGAGCCGCCGGCGGGCATCGGCCAGGAGCGGGACCCGCGGTCGCCCACGCCCGGCATCTCCCGCACGCCCATGAGAGCCGTGTCGAGTGGTGAGTGAAGCCGCCGTGGGCGGGCGGGATGAGGGGCTGCCTGACTTAGAGGCTCACCCCGTCCCGCTCCGTCCCCGGCAGACAGCGTGGACCGCCTGGTGACGCAGCTCAGCGAGGCCTTCGGCGCCGAGGCCGCGGAGCCGGCGCCTCCGGGAGCGGCGGGCCCTGCCGAGGAGCCGGCCCGGCGGAGCTCCCCTCCCGCGGGCCCGGAGGCGGAGAGGCCGGTCTCCCCCGGCACGGCCCGGCCCGGCCGCCCTGCAGGACACGGCTTCTCCTCGGGTAAGTGCTCGGGGTGGGGGTGGCCGGGCTCCGTGTGCCCGGAGGGCTGCGCGGGGTGGGCTGTGAGCACGGCGGGGCTCCCGGTGCCTTCTCCAGGCGTGCTCCGCGCCAGAGCCTGCCCCTACCCCCAGTTCGGCTGTGCCCCCCCCGCCCGGACACTCTGCGGCCGGGGCACCTTTTGGGAACTGCTACGTTATCGAACAGATTTCTGTCCAGAAATTGTTTTTAAACTGTATTCTAAATCAAGAGGTATACGACAACTTTTCCCCTCCCTGAGATGGGTTTTTGACTGTGGAGACCTGCCCAGAGGGACCTTACAGTTTCTCCTTGGGGAGAGCTGTGGAGCAAGGGTGGGCAGCACATCTCTGTGCTGAGGCCGAACAGTGCTGAGAGACTTGGATGCAAACTGTGCTTCAGAAAGCTCTGTGCTGAGCACTGCTCCTCAGAGGAGCAGCTGAGCACTGGGGCTGTTCAGCCTGGAGAGGAAAATATCTTCTTAATAGATACAAATACCTGAAGGAAGGGTATAAAGAAGAGAGAGCCAGAGGCAAAGGGGACACAATGGTACACAGGTTCCTGAATATCAGGAAACATTTTTTTTTCATCATGAGGGTGACCAAGCAGTGGAGCAGGTTGCTCAGAGAGGTTGCAGGATCTCTATCCATTGAGATATTCAAGAGACACCTGGACATGGTCCTGGACAATGGGCTCTAGGTGACTCTGCTGGAGTAGGTCCTTTAGAGTTCACTTCCAACATCAACATTTCTGTGAGCCCTTTACCTCAAAGCCCTTGGGTAAGCCTTTGATAAAGGCTAGGAAGCATTTAAAATCCAGGACCTTGGAACCTTATCATGTGCTGGTGTGTTTCCTTTTGTCAACTAGTGAGCAAGCCCATAAGACACAAGCCCAACAACAAATTCATGGCAACATCTGGAGGAACTGGCCGCTCTCCCCTCAGCATTCTACGAGATGATAATTCTCCCAGTGCTCCCACCCCTCGCCAGGTAAAGCTTAATGGGTCATGCTGAGGGAAGGAGATTGAGCTGGAAAAAAAAAGCCACATTCTTCAATTTCTATATCTTGCAGGGTCCTAGTTGAGAATTGTGGCCTCCCAGGTCTGTAGAGACTAGTAACTTCACAAATGTTTTTCTGTGGGTCACTCTTGTTCAATGTCTTTGGCCTTACTGTGAAATTGCCCATTTTAGTGCATTCTTTCTCTCTAGGCTGTAGAAAAAAGTTACTCTTGTACATTGTCACAAGAGAGTCCAAGCTGAATGGCCTGAAAATAGGCTACATATTCTGCTGAGAATTAACTAACCTTCAATTAACTTGTGTTTTTCACTCTGTGTTTGGGTTTTTATTTCTCTAGGGTAAGAGGCACGTGTTGGGAGAGAACCTTGGGGAGAAGAAGGATGTGGATCTAAGCAGGAGCCTTAAGTCTGGGAACTGTGCTTGGAGCGACTTGAACAAGGAGAATCAGCAGTGTCCTTTTGTGGAGAACTAGGATCTTGCTGTAATTTGATCCTATGTTCTGAGAATTTTTTAGAGGGAAGAAATCCTACAGTAGACTGAAACCCCAAAGCAGTGGTCATATTTCTCACCTATCCCTGCTGGGGAAAGATTTCTCCCTCTTCTTCCTAGCTTGTCATGTCTAATGTACAGCACAGACTTTGTCTCTTTTATTGTATATCAGTTGTACTGGTTATTCCATAGAGCTTTTATCTCTAGTAAATAAATTTGTGTTCAACCTTTGCTGACTGTATGTCCTGATATTGTGCTTGCTCAGCACCAAAAAACCACAGGGTGAGATCCAAAATAACATGAGATGGCATTGTCCATTAATATTGACCTTCTGTTGGTGAGTTACTAAACCTTGTTGATTTCCAGCTCTCCCTAGCAGAGCCTTGGGCCCCCCAGGATGCTACTCGGAGCCAACAAGTGGAATAGGGGCTGAAAAAAATGGCTGTGTCCTGTAAATTAGTAAAATATCCAAGCTTTGAAAGGACGCACTTTCATCCCCTGATCCCAACTTCAACCTCTTCTCAACTACAGCATGTGAGGAGCACCCTCCCCTGGGGATGTGAGCTAAAGCAAGGTCTGTGGATGAGGTGTCGACTGGTTGAGACCAGCAGGCAACATGCACAGGAAAGGAGTTATGTTAGCAGTAGCTCATTGCAATGCTGGAAAGAACACAGCCTGTAGTGCTTCTGTGAGCTTTCTTTATTTGCCTGGGCTGTAAAGATCTAAACAGACTTGAAAACATGGGCTGATGGCTACTGGTTAGATAGGGTCACCACACAATGCAGGAGTGAGGCAAAGAGGGAAGGAACAGCAGGAAGTAGACAACAAGAATAAATATATTATTCCCTGATATTCTGGCAGGTCTTGAGGGCTACCTTTCTGCCATTTATGCATAGATAAGACTTGAACTAAGAAAAGAATAAATATATTCCCTGCTATTCTGGCAGGTCTGAAGGCTGCCTTTCCCCCCTTTATGCATAGATAGGACTTGAACTAGGTGTTCCCCCATGAAAATGAGCCAAATTTACTCTATGTTTGAGGCGGTGCCATAGAAATCACAAATCCAGCGTGTCTCTGGGGCTGTCTGCATGGATACAGGACAGCTGCACAGAGAAGTTAGAGTTAAAGCAGAGAGAGAGCTTAGTCTGGGGTGGGTGTTGCATGAGGGGCCCCCCAAAGGAGGAGGCTGGGTACCAGTGCGGGTAGAGATGTTTGAAGGAAGGTGCAGGGTGTCTGAATTGTACTGCAAAGTCCTGAGACATAAAGAACAGGTCTTCAAGCCTGCACAAGGCTGGAAACTGCTGGGGCTATTTAGAGGTGGAGAGAAGGGCCAGTGCATTTGCTCTTACTCCCCAGCTCCCCCTGCTTCTCCTCCCTGATCTCCTTTCACTCTGGGAGACTCCTACAAGTGACCTGTGTCTAGAGACAAGTGGGAGTGGTAGGTAGGCATTTCTGTTGTGCTCAGCTGATGATGCTGTTTTGTGTGGGCTCGGGCTGTGGGCCGTGCTTCTGCTGCTTATCCCCTTTCTGCTGCTGTCCTCAGTTCCAAATCTTGAGGAAACTGTCCCAGGAGCCAGTGGCAACAGCCATGCCATCCGCCGTCACCCCCAGGCAGCTCACTCTGTTGTCGTGGCCAGAAAGGATTCCTGTGGTGAGAAAGAAGAGAGGTCAGGGAGTGAAGGGGGGCCTGTGAGAGGTGACAGGGGTGGCCCTGCTGAGGACACACATCACAGGCTGTGCCTACAGGCCATGTGTGGTCCTGCCTTCTCCTGCACAACCTGTTACAGTCAGTATGGGGAGAGTAGGAGCAAACGTGCCAAAGAACTTTTGTATGTGGCGTACAGCCACCACCCAAAGTGTTCTTGGGAAGGTATGGCCAGCTTTCACAACTGCTTTCACCCTGGAGTGATGCTAAGACTAAGATAGGATGGGGTCCTTGATAAGGCTGAGAAAAGCAATGCTGTTGGTGGGCTGTGTTTCATGACTTTTCAGAGGGCAGGGGCCACATCTGAAAGAAAAATGTTGTGCGTTCTGTGTGTGAGAATCGCAGAGCACCCAAAGATGTTGGATGGAAGCCCAGGTGCACACTTGGCTTGGTGCCTGGCCACCAAGTGGCACTGTGAGTACCTGAAACTAGCAGAGTAGGAGGAAGTAAGATATTCTTTTGGTGGTTGTGAGCAGTTTTAGCTAATGGGAACCTTCTTGTCCCCCTTGAAACAATGTTGTTTAAAGGGTTGAGTTCCTTAACATTAAAAACAATAGCTCTTCTAGGCCAGTGAGAGTTGTCTGAGATCTGATGTGCTCTCTCAGCACGAGGGAGCTTTGTTTGGTTTCAGTCAGTATAGGATATCTTCCTATGTTTAGGAAAAATAAGTGCCTTGCTATCCCTAAGGCAGGGACAGGAGGCCTTGCAGGGAGGGAAAGAGGGACCTGGAGGAGCCACTCACCCACACGCTCTGCTTTCAGGGAGTCCCAGATGTTGCAGTTGAAGTCATCGTAGCCAGCGAACAAGAGCCGGCCGCTGCGGGAGAGGGCGATGGAGGTGATCCCGCAGATGATGGTCTCGTGGGAGTACATGATGAGCTCCTGGTCCGCCCGCAGGTCGAAGAGGCGGCAGGTGGCGTCGTCGGAGCCGGTGCAGATGGCTTCGCCATTGGGGAAGAACTGGGGAGGGCACACGCCACGTTTTAATGAGGTTTTCCTCAGATCCCGATGGAATTCCTCAACTCGCTGCCCCCCTGCTAACCACCAGGAAGGCACGGAGGCAGGAAAACCTGGTGGGGTCAGACACTGGATCATAAAATTTGAGTCTGCTGAAGGGGAAGAGTGATACTTCTCATAAGGCCTAATAAACCGCTTCCACTCCAATAAAACCAATGGCCTGTTGCAAAATATCTCAGTGCTTGAGGAAGGATTATTTTAACTCCAGCTGTTAGGTTGGGCTTTGACAAGTGTCCACCCATTATCCTTCAGCTGAGGTCTGACATAATTCTGGCTACCAGAGCCTTCCTCTTTCTGATCTTCATATCCCAACCTTCTTATACATGATCATTTTCTGTGGTTTTTCTCTGAGGAGTAAATAAAGGGCTCCTCAGGAGCAGGTATGGCAGAAAACCATGTGGCTGGCAATGTAGCCATGGGGCAACTGAGAAAGTTACACTAATTGGTGTCAGTGGAAGGTGGTTTGAGCAGCAGACTGCAGGAAGCTGGCATTTGTTTAGCTTCAAGGATTAGTCTGCCATGTGTCTTGTCCTGCCATCTCTGCAGCTCTGAGAGAGGTGCTTCCTCCTAAATGTCTGAGCAGCCTCCCATGGAAATGAAATCTTCAGAAGATCTCCTTATGATCCTACCTCTTCTGTCTGGAGCTGACCTCAGCTGAGTTAGGTATTCCTGCTGCCTCACTTGTGCCTTGCGCCAGAGCTGCTGGAGCGTGCCTGAACCACAGTTCCCAACAGCTGCTGTGAGCAAAGCTGCACCAGCACCTGTGTCAGGGTGCTCAGCTCCACAGACCACAGTGTGCTTTGGTGCCTGGGGAGAGCCCTCCTCCAAACTTCAGTGAGCTTGGGCACTCTCTGCTTCAGGCTGGATCATGGGGCCAAGGTCTAAGACCCTTGTTACCCTAATGACTGTGACAGCTTCCTTCAACCTTGTCCCAGGGCTGTTTTGGAGCTGTTCCACCCCCATTTTCCTCCCTAGCACTGCGCAGGGAGCATACGTACGGAGATGGCGTTGATGTCGGACTCGTGCCCTGAGAAGGTCTGACGGCAGGAGCCCTCCCGCACGTCCCACAGTTTGGCAGTAGCATCACAAGCCCCAGAGATGAAGAGTTTGAAGTCAGGGGAGACGGCCAAGCTCATACAGTCTCCAGTGTGACCAATGAACACAGTCTTCTGCTGCCCTGTCTCGATGTCCCAGAGCGCGCTGCAGGAGGGGACAAGAGAGGAGAGAAGGTCTCAGAGCCAGCCCAGGCAGAGCAGACCTACAGCCGGGCTGAAGAGCTGCCCCACTTGCAACAAAAGGAGGGAAGCCATGGTTACTGCACAGGAAAATGGTTGAGAGCATCCCTGGAGTCAGCTGTATACAACAGGAGATATCTTCACAGCTGTTGTCGGCAATACCTTTGCCGAAACAGAGTTAGACTAAGGCTGGGGGTGTGTGAGGCTTGGCATATTCCCATAAGAGTAACAGCTGAAGGGAATACTTGGAGACAGTAAGAGGGACACAAACAGCAAAAAAATAGAAAACAGCTGAAAAAGGTCTTCTGTGTCCATGCTTGTAAGATGCAAAGCTCTTGTTCCAGGGGATCCCACACCACAGCTGGGCAAAATCCCGTGTAACACTGATCTCTGACGGAAATGCCGCTTATCCTTGGTCAAAATGCTTTTCCAAAGCAGGTTTTGGGATGGGTGAATAAAGACTCAGGACTGCTCAGAGTCACAGCACAGCAAACCCTGAGAAGCAGGAACCAAAGGATCAAGGAACTGCCTCTGCAGTGTCCCTTGCACAGAGGGCAAGACTTGAGAAGTGGAGAACGTGTGAGTGCTCCACATAAAGTTAAAACTCTTTCTGTGCTGGTATAAGTGACACTGCTCTTTGTGAGAGCTGTTGACATAGCCCCTACTGCTTGACCTGGCCTCAGCTGAGAAAAGAAGCATCTGTTCTTCCAAGGGAGGAAGAATGGATCAGGCTTCCTAAGGTGCTCCATGTGGCCTCCCCATGTAGGAGCAATTCCTCCTTAGATAGTGGAGTGCTGAGGAGCAGAAGGACTGCACTTGCTGCTGTGCTAAGAGCAGAGATCATGTCACTAGGATGCAGGAAGAAGCACTCACCATGTGGTATCTCCAGAGCTAGTCACAATATTGTTGTCGTCAAGAAATCGGCAGCAGGAGAGGTATCCTGGGAAGCGGGAACAAGCAAATGTGAGAAAAAGGGGCAGGGATAGAAGGCTGAAGTTTGGAAGCAGGGGGCACCCAGTTGCAGGCAGGCAGCAAACACACCTGTATGGGCTGAGAGCTCCCTGCTCACTTTGACGTTGCCTTCACGAGACTTGAGGCTGTAGATGGAGCACATGTTGTCAAGGCCTCCACAGGCCACAAAATTGCCAGAGGGGGCATAGGCACAGGTCATGACCCAGGAAGAACGCAAAGGGATGGCATGAACCTGCGAGGACCAGAAACTGTGTCAGGGCTCTTGGCAGCAGTGACAACAGGTCAAGGACACCCACTCCAGCATCCTGGTTTGCAGCCACCTGACTCCTACCTTGTTAGTTGTGTATGTGTCCCACACAATCAGTTTTCCATCTTGTGAGGCACTGACCATAAGTCTGTGGGAAAGGAACAAGATCATGTTAGTAGCTTTCTTCCCATCAGAGCTTTCCTGCCCATCACACCCATGTGCTCTCCTGCACCCAGCAGACCAGCAGCAGCGCTCTCACTTGGAGTCTGTGGACCAGTGCAAGGCGTAGATCTTGGCCAGGTGTCCCCGCAGGGTCCTTCGGGTCCGCATCTGGATGCGCCCAACGACCTCCATTCCAGACACAATCTAAAGAAAGAGTGGTGGGAGAGAAAGAATTCATCTTGGACTGCCAGGAGTTTTACTACTTTCCACATCTCTGCCTCCTAACTCCTTCCTGGCAGGACAAAAGCCCCTCAGAGTGGTACTAGCTTGCCCAGGCAGCCCTGTCCCTTACCTGAGCAAGTGTTGTGTCTGCACAGGCTTTCCGGGCATCCTGGAGAAGAGACAACAGCAGATGAGAGAGATTAAAAACATGAGGGGAAGGCATGAAACTGGGGTCATAGTCTGGGGGCTACTAGAAGTAGGAATTGTGGCTTTGCTGTGTTTGGATTGTGGCCAGCATAGGGGGATCTTTGTTTATGATTAGGACACCTTGACACCAGTCATTTGTCAGGAAGGTGAGCCAAAATTTGCTGTTCTACACCCTTTCCATAGACCCTCCCACCTGACCGAACACCAGCTATCTCACAGACAGAAGATCCTGGGGATTCACTATACTCTTGGGACCCCTGTCCCCTCTTCTCTCCCTTCCCCTACTTCTCTTCCCCCCACCATGGCAGGAAGACCTCCATTAGCATTTAAAGGGCTGTGGAGAGCTGCAGAGGGTTCCAAATATGTAGATGGAGAAAGCCCAACTCCATCTTGCAGCTGAGAAGGAAAGTTTGGGCATGCATTGGGGAGTAGACACGCTCTCAGCAGCTTCATGACTGTTGCCAGCATTACCGCAATCTGCTTCTTCAGCTGCTCAGCCTCCTGCTTCATCTGTTCCATTTCCCCCATCTTTCTGACCTAGGGGTGGCTCCTCCACGTGGGGCAGCCTGGATTCTGGGGAGACAGATCAAAGGAGAGAGGTGTGAGTTAGACAGCACACCAATGTGACTGCTCAGTTATGGAAATGCAGGTATCTCTGGTAAAGGATTGGTGACCACTTCTTGGCTGAATACTCAGTCATGTCGTGCTGTATCTGGCCACAATCCTCAGCATTTGGGAAAATTGTGCTGGGCCTGGTCATAGACCCATTTTGTCTTGGATGCTGCTTACACATACACATACGAAAGCTAAAGAACTCCAGAGCCTCTTGCTGAGGTTCTGGCCACACTTGTCCACTCATTTTTAACCTCTCCATTCCAGACCCTGAGTCCTCTACGTCAGCTTCTCCCTGCTCATGACCAAGCTGTCCATCTCAGCTCCAGGAGGAAGAAACTTCATGGGGGGAGCCCATTGGCTATTTCCTACTGTCTGTGCTAAGCAAAGCCTCACCAGGTAGGACCAACCAACTCTCTGACCACCAAGAAAATCTACAGAGCTCTTGAGGTACTCTCTCAGGGTTCCCTCCCAGTTTCACATCAAATACCAAACCAAAACCAACCAACCAACCAAAAAACCCAAACCAAATTAAAATAAAAGGCAAGGTGGATGCCTAGGGAAGGATCTAAGAATAACATAAGCCGATAGGAGTACATCTCCTACTTGCCCAGCCCTAGCTTTTCACTGACGTCCAAAGCTAGAACAGCATTACTGTATGCAAGTCCTTGATGGACTTTTCTTCTGTGCATTTGTCCATACCATTTTTGTGCCCATGCCAAGTTCAGCCTCCTCAGTACCCCATGGTGATGACTTCCACAGCTGGGTGGCAGGCTCTGCAAAGAAGCTCCTGCTTCTATCACTTCCCAATGGCACTAGCTCCACTTGACAGTAGCTATATTTTGAGTTGGAAGAATCAGTAAATAACAGGTCTCTATTCACCTCTGCATCACTCGGTATTTTATACATCTTTGTCATACCCGTCTCTTTTCCAGACTGCAGAGCAAACTTAGTCATTCCTCCCATGTAAGCTGTTACATCCTATTGTCTCTGTTGTTCTGTGAGCTGTTTTCAGTTTACAGAGCAGAGATGATACGTTTTTGCAGGGAGGGCAGGAACCAGAACTGTAATCCATATCCAAGATGCAGGTGCACTGTATCCTTATACAACAAATCTCTTTTGTTCTCTCTTGTTATGTGCACTTAAATCTTCAGCAGCGATTCTAGCATCTCCCACTTTTGTAGACAAACGTGATCTTTAATTGATCCAACATTTCACTTAGATAGATGTGAGTGTCCAGATATGCTCCAGGTGTTGCCCAAGAAATGTTCCAGCAGCATCTGCAGAATTTCTCCCAGTCCCTACAGGTAACACCACTTCCATCCCTGCTGCCTGAAGGCCTCACTTCCTTTGGTCAGTGGGGCTTTGGGTCCTTCCATGCCAGACTTGCTCTCTTGCTGTGGGCAAGCACATCTGGACAGCTCCCAAGTCCCACCTTTGCTTGCTGCTTCGTAGAGCACTTTGAGTTTCCATTAAGAATTCCTTCCCTTGAATGTCTCCATGGCTTTCCTTTGATCCCCCAGGCATAGTGAGTTTTTACTTGTTCAATGATTCCTGAGGCATGGCTTTGAGTGAAAGAGAATGAGATACAGGTTTCCTCTAGCTCCTGGGAGGCTATCCCAGCAGGAAGCTATTTCAGGATATACTCTGCAGAGAGAAACTTGTGCCTGCTGCCTGCAGGGCTGGATAGAGCCGCAGCACTGCTGACTCCGCCCTGCTTGCTGTCAATGCACTGGATGGGGCTGCCAGCCCCAGCAAATGGGGAGGGAGCAGGAGAAACTGCCAGGGCCCAGAGGAAGGTGCCAGAGCCACGCCTGGAAATGCCAGCCTCAGCCCCCTGCAGCTACACTGAAGGACAGGAACAGACCAGCACCTGAGCTGGGCCCATTCCACAGAGTTTTTCTTCTGTTATTCCAACAGAGCAGTGATGAGGGGGCTTCTCCCAGCAAGGATGCACAGTTGCACCCATTGAGTGACCCTAGCCATGAAAGCCCACCTTCATCCACTTCCTCTCCTTTGGGAAAGGGCTGGCATTCCACTCCACCTCTCATCTGACTGACAGAGCGGGGAGATGCTGGGGAATGCCTTGCTGCTTTTAGTCAGAGGCTGCACATCCTCCTCCTCCTGCGGTGTTTGCCCCTCAGTTTCAGTGTACAGTGAGGCTGCCAGGCTCCATCCAGCTCTGGTCACAGCCTACAGCACACCAAGTGGCACACCTGAACTTCCAGCCACCCTGTGCAGCCAGCCCTACCATTGTGGCCCACACTTTGCCCTTTTCCAGCGTTCCTCAGGAGTGATCCATCAATCCTAAGCATTGGATTGCCTTTTCCTGCTAGGTAACCTCCTGCCTCTTACTCTCTCCTTCCAGCCTCCTTTGCTTGGTTCCCAAGTTCTTCAGGCTGTTTTTTCATACACTTTTGGCTCTCTGAGATCGCTGTCCATCCACCTGCCCTAATTTTTCTTTGTAGACTTCTGGTTTTGCCCACCCATACCTGCACAGAGATGGGAACCTTGCTCTCCCTCCCTTTCAATTTCTGCTCCCAGAGAAGCTGGCTGTACACGTCCTCCTTGTTACCCCCTTGGATCCCAGTCTTCCTTTCACTGCTCCTCTTTTTTCACTAGTCTCTTCCCTTCTCTGGTTGTTTCTCAACTCTGGCTCTAGCAAAGGAATGCCAGTTCACTGCTCTGTAAAGCTGCACGACCAGAGGAGGGGCTTTCATAGCCCTAGGCAGATCAAACAGCAGGGGCAGGATGTCGAGGACGGATAAAAAGGGCTAAATATAGAGAAGGTGCAGCTCAGGACTGTGTCCGAACCCTTAAATCCCTCTGAGAGAACACTCTAAATGAAGTTGGGAATTGTTCTCAGCCTCAGAAGGACAAGGAGCCACGGATGAGTGATAATAATAGCTCCATTTTTTGCCTGTCGCCTCCATCCGTCACGTCCCGGTGCAATTTGTGGAGAATGAGCTATCCCCAGCGTAGTGCAGCTGCCTCCAAGGAGGACCAGGGCAGGTGTGCAAAAGAGCAGCTTGTTATGGTCATGTAAATTTAGGGCAGGAAATGGGAGGAACAAAATGGGGGAAGAACAGAGGAAAGAGAAATGGAGTTTGGCCAAGGCGTGTTCCTGCCTTCACCAGCAGGACCTTTCACATTTCTAGTGCATCTAAGGATCAGCTCACAGTTGCTCATGGTGGTTGCCCAGGCTAGTTTTAATGGGAAAGGCTTCTAAACGGTGCACATTTGGTTCTTTCTGGAAGTAAGGACTCTTTCAGGTGAATGCTGAGCAGAAGAGGAAACCAAGTCCTTAGGTACCTTTGAAAGAAACAATTCACCACTCTCAGCACAGCTGCTGACAGGAGGACCTTGGCACCTGTTCCAGAGTTTTGCCTCCTGCAAGCACTACCCGGAGCAAGTAGGGCATAGTCAAACAGAGCCTGGGCTTGGTTGGTCCATGCCAGCCCTGTTCTGAGCTCTGCCTTAGCTGTGCTCATCCAGTTCACAGCTCTTGGCTTTGGAAATCACTTCTGCTCTCCAACATGACAGTTCTTTCCCCTCCTGCCTTTCTAACAAACTCCTTGCTGCAGCATTCCTGTCTGTGGGCAGTCAAACCCATCCTGAGTCCTTTGGTGTCTGCTCATAGCAGATCAAATGCCTCTGCTGCGGTGCAAGACGGAGGGGGATCTGGAATCATCCGTCTTCTGCCTTTTGCTGCCACACCCTGACTTTCCAGAGCAGTGGCCATATCCTTGCACGATGCCATGGAGGTGGCCCAGCTTGCTCCCTGGGGGCTGTCCCTCCAAGTCACCTGCATCACTCCCTGGTGGGGATAAGGGTGCAAATAATAGGTGGGAAAAAGAGGCAAGGTGAACCCTCTTATTATCTGCTCCTGGGTAGCTTCCCCCATGCTGCAGAAGGAGTGGTTGCTCTGAGAAATGTTGGGAGAGGGCTCTTAATGGAAAAGGGAAAGGTGCAAGAAGAAGGACTCAGTGGGAACAGGCAGCATCTCTGTGTAATCCCTGACCAGCTTCACAGGCTCGCCCTGGTGACCCTGGGCTCCTTGCAGAGCCGGATAGAGATGATCCCTCTCTCCTGTGATGGAGGTCAAAGGTCAGGGTAAAATTACCCTGCTCTGCTCCTTGCTTTCTGAGGGCTCCTTTTGCACCCAGAACAGCAGCCAGCTGCAAAGAGGTGTGCATAGGGTGCACTGGAGTGCAGGGCTCTGTACAGGCAGTGAGTGCCAGGTCGATCAGAGGTGTTACTCTCCTGCTCCAGCCTGGAAACTGGTGAGCTTTACCTGCCAAGTGGAGAACAAGCAGTGCATCCCAGTGCAAAGCTCCCTCGTCACTGTAAGGACACTTTAGTGCTAACCTCTGCTCCTTTCCATGATATTACCCTCCCTCATCCTCTGATGGGATGAGCCCTTGCTCAAAGTCTCCCCACAGAATCAATCCAAGAAACTCAGGGTTCCAAATGCCAGGTTCACCAAGGTGACCTCAGGCATCGCAAGGCGGCAAACTTACCGGGATCTGTAGAGCAAGGTGGGTTGCAGTCCCTCCTGGATGGGACCCTCACAGCCTGCCTCCCTTGCTGAGAATGGCTCCTCACTGCCCAGAAGTCCCCTGTACCTCTGCAGTCTCCAGCCAGTCCCGTTCGTCCAGCCAGCCAGTCCCTTGCTCCCTCTCTGCTCCTCAGCCTCTCCCAGGACTGATCTCCCCATGGGGAGCTGGAAGGCTGTGGACGGGAGGGGTTGGGGGAGGGCTGATTCCAGGAGCAGCGTCAGGCAAATTAAATCAGACACCAGAGACTTGGGGAAATCGGATTGGGACGTAATGCAAAGCAGGTGGATGGGGAGGGGTGAAAAGAGAGAGTAGCACACTGCTCCTGAAGGGAAAGAAACAATCCCAGGCGGATTTGACTCTCTCTGTTTATATCAGCAACAAACTAATAAAGTGAAGATTAGCCAGAACAGCCTAGGATTATCAGCCACCAGGGCAGGGCTTGCTGTACCTCAGAGTCACAGGAATTCCTGTTTTCCCAGGGACAGCATGCCACTTGTGTCCTGGGCAGGGCAGAAAGAGGGATGATGCCACCCGAGAGGGCCTGCAAATGGAAAACCAATGGCAGGGCCATCACACCTTCTCTCGGCTGTGAACAGAGCTCTGGATGGGGAAAACAGAACTGGGCACAGGGGCCAGGGGTGGCAAAAGATTTGGTGGCATGCCTTTTGGCAGCCACTTTAGTGGGATGCTGCGAGGGGATTATCTTGGCCTCAATCTCTTTTAATCTCTCCCGCAGCTTTGGTCCAAGCCTGAGATAAATACCTTTTAACGGATCTCATCTGACGTCAGGAGGCCATCAGTCTAATCACCCAGGCCACCTTTGGGCAAAGCAAGCCAGAGATGTGGACACTGGCCCCTCAGCCCCCAACGTGTCTTCATCAACCAGGAACCACCCAGCACTCCCCACAAATCATTGGGATGGACATGTGGGTGCTGGGATGTGACAGGCTCCTTTGCCAGGGAGAGGGAATTTGAAATGCACACATCATTTTCCTGTGATCCTGGAGAAGCAGATGGAGAGTAAAAGGGGTTGCCAACACAAGTTTCCCAAGCCTGCATGTTAAGAAGCATCAGGATTCAAACTGAGGAAGGACTTCCCTTTCCACGGAGCAGGGGCCCTGTGCCAACAGCGACAAAGGGGATCACTCACCCACCTCTTACACCACTGGCTCTGGCTCTAAAGATTTCTTCCACTTGAACTGCACTTGGGGTCTCCATGCACAACTCATCAAGGCTTGAGTATGTCATGACCACAGATTGATCTCTTGCTCTAATGCTTCCCAGGAAAAGGGTCACTGCTCTTTTAGATACTCCATATCCACCCCATTCAATTCCTATTTGGCTACAATATAATCCCATCTCGGGACACTAATCCCCTGGGCAGTGACAGCAGATTGTCTTTCTATCAGGGTGGAAAATGATAAACAAAATCTCTTTTCTGCTTTCAGGAACAATTTAGTGCATGGAGAGGGGGAAAAAAATGAAAACAAAAAAAAAAAGTCTTGCTACAGGGAAATGTGAGTGTACAGTGCTCTTTCTTAAAGGCACTCCTCACCCTTTCCATGTTAGCCACGTCACAGCTGACTTTCTCTCTTGCTCTCCCTTATTGGAAGTGGCTGACATCTGGGTAAATACTGTTATCTTTCACTGAGGGCTCAATCCCCTCCCATCATTTGTTAATTAAATTTCAATCAGAAACAAGTGTGCACGTCACCCTGGTATACAGACTCAAGCTCCCATCAATATCTGTGTCCAGCATTTGGTTTTTATTCCATCTATTCACAGTCCCTCACCTTTCCTGTCGCAGGTCACTTTGCAAAGTTCTGGAGTTTGCAGGTGCTTAGGAAATTGAAGCGCTTTAGTTTTGAGCTCCTGAATGTGAGACAGCCCTCACTGAAAGACTCCAGGCTCCTCCTCCCCCTCTCACATTTAAGCCCTGGATGGCCAAGAAGTTAGCAGTGAGAGGAGTGGGGTGAGAAGACTTTGTCTTCTTACTTCTCAGTGAGGCAAACAGGGTGAGGCAGTGAAGAAAGTTCCTGGTGTCACTGACTTCCACACTGTGTCCTTCTCCCATTTTTCAGCTGCTGAGACACCACAGAGAAGAAAGCTGCACCCCACCCCATCACTACAGCTCTACCACACTAATACACTGCCCCAGGCCTCCGTGGTCCCGGTCCTCCCGTGACCTGCCAGGCGTGGTGTGTGACAGTCCACAGGGCCCCATGCCCTCAGAACTCATCTCTGGCCCGTAGCACCTTGGGGTGCTGCTTCCTGTCCAAGCCAGGCTTCTGTCCCTGATTTGCAGGCTTGCCTGCACGCCTGGGAACACGAGGCTCTGAGGAGGATCTGCTGCTGCGATCAGTTCCCTGATGTTTATCTCCATCAGGCTGGTCCTGCTCCACAGCCCTCTGCTCCATCAGCTCCTCTGCCTTCACACGTTCCTGCAGCCATGGAGACAGAAATTACATGAATCCTCCCTGCTGGGGTCTCGACAAAACACATCCACCCGACCGCTCCAGAGCCCAATCCCCCTTGCAGGACCCATCCCAGGCGGGCCCCTCCACCAGACACCCTGTCCACGGGCAACCCCCAGCTGCTGCACTATGCCCTGCCCCAAGGGAAAGCCCAAAAGCTGTTCCTCAGTGGGATTTGATCTCACTGCAGCTACTTGTATTTGTCCCTCAGCACGGCCCTTCACCTGCTCAGCGTGCTCCTGGGAGTGCGTGTACCAGAGGGCAATGGCGCAGCGCCGGCCGCGGCTCACGGCCCACACGCCATGAGGGTTCTCCTTGCCAGAGCTGAAGGCCACCAGCCTCCCGCACTTGGGATGCACCTCGGCCTGCCAGGAGAGAGACAAGAGACTGTGAAGCCAGCACACCCCTGCTCTGGAGTACACAGTCCTTCTACAGAGGTGACACTGCCTCTGGGAACATGGAAGAGCAGAGAGCTGCTAGGAATCTACAGCTACAGTCTATGAGCAAGGCAGGCTTTGGAGAGGGACAGGGAGAATCAATGGGACAACAAAGGTCACAGACACCCACAGACTGAAAGAGCCTGAGAAATCTCGGCTACGAAAGAGTCAAACTCTCCTCTGAGATTTGCCTCAATTTCCCTTTAGCTGCCCCTATTTGAATCTGCCACTGCACCAGCACTGGATTGTTTTTGGAGTGGTGGGATCCAATAACCAAACAGTTTGCTCCTGCCCAGACTAAGTCTCGCCCTCAGTCCTCTCCCTCTTTTGGCCAGTCGCAGACTTACTGTGACAGTCACAGTGTCCATTTCAGTGAAGAAAAGGCCTCCACCTTTGAAGTCATCATTGAGGTAGAGAATGCCACTGTGGACAAAAAGAAAGAGTACATATGTACAGTGAAGCTTATTCCTCCCAGGTGCTTCCCCACACTCCTTGTCACAGGTTCAAAAGCAAGCAGACCAGTTAGCAGGAGAATTCATCTGAGGGTGTTAAGTACAGCAGTGCCTAGCTCAGGGGAGTCCCTGAGCTGCAAGCCACAGGAGGCTGGGAGAGAATGCCAGGGAATTAGCTCTACACACTTGTCCCGTTTTATTTTGGTTTGTTCTTAATCCCCTGCAGCATGCATCTGTGGCACTGTTGTAACAATGCCCTGGGCTTGACAGACCTTGTTTCTAACCTGCTGTTTATGTTTCAAGGTTGGGAATAACTCAATTCCTGGAAGAGGAGACTGATCAGCAAAGAAAGCCATGTCTTAACAGCCAAGTAATTTCAGGGCAACATTAGAATTGGAATGATCGAAAAGGGGCCTGGTGCATGTAGAAAAGAAAATTAAACCAAGAAACTTTACTAAAGTCATAGAAGAAGAGAAGTAATGAAGCCACTGTACAGCACAATCAAGTAGGTGAAAGCATGGACCACAGACTGCCCGGGTTCTTCTTGGTATTCAATTAAGCTGATAGAAAACATCAGAGGAACAACAGAGGCTCATAATTAATGAACACTGTGGTTGTTGAAGCAATGTTAAGGACATGAGGGCAGTGAGAGGATTACCAGTCCTGGAACCCAGGAAGTTGTAGCTCTTCTGCCACAGGGTTTTAACGAGGCTGTGAAGCCAGAGTGCTGACATGAGTGAAGAAAAGCAAGGACAGCTCTCACACGTCCAAAGGGACAGGAAGGTAGGGATAATGGTTGAAGCATAAACTGTGTTACCCTGACCTCAATAGTCTGCAGGGCTTTAGATTCCATTTCTGAGAAGGGTAATTGGAGGACAAGAAGCAAATGGAAAATGGTCTTAAAATGTAACACGGGGGTACTAAAAGCAGATTGGGCTACCCACATAATGATTGAAAAAATAGTGCATTTTCCAAGGAAACATTACATGCTCAATCTCAGCAGTTTGGACTCTGGTAAAAGGGCTCAGAATGGTGCAATGGGGGAAATTTCTAACGAAAAGAGAGGGTGAAGATGAGCATGAAAGCACACAGGGACCAGTGCACCGCTGGCACCCAAAGGAGCACTGTGCACCCAGAGCAGCATTACTGGAACTCATGGGCCCCTGGGCCCAATCCTGCTCAACTATCAATTATCAATTATCATTAATGCCCATAGCACAGATTCACAGGAAAGATCCAGGAAGTTTGGAACACAGGGACTTCATTCAAAAGGACACTGTAAGAGTGCAGCCCTTAAGCTGGTTGGGCAGTCACAACTTGAACTGCAAGGGGACAGGGATACTCCCAAAAATAGCTCAGTGGCATAGATCCTGGGAAGGTATTTTACCATCCATTCATGTGGAAGTCAGAGAACTCAGGGAGCAGTGAAGGGACAGGACAGCTTTCTCCCAGGAGGGACATCTAACTGGTTACACAACAAAGCCTGCTAACTTTACAATTTGGTTATACCAAGTAAACACTGCTATCCAAAGGGAAACAACACAATTATAATAGAATTCCCTCTAAGTCCCATATCTTTATCATAGCTTCTTAGAGATTTCTGCTCTAGATATAGCTACCATTCAAAGAAAAGACAAGTAAAATTTCTGGATGCTCAGGGATGAGATGGCAAGTGGGAGGAATCAGCTGTAGTGAACTGACCTCATCTGGCTGCAGTGTGCAACAACTGGCATCACCATTAAACTATATTTCAGGTTCTTTCACAGAGGAGTAACAAAACCTGCCACAGACTGGAAAAAACATAAACTCTCACGTGGAATGGAAAAACCCAAGACAAAGTATTTGCAGTGAATCTTGAGAGAACAGTCACTGAAGTACACTGACTGCTCAAACAAAAGGAATCCAAGGAGCTCGAATATCCCTTTCCTATAATTCACAGAATTCTGTAAAAGATGGAACTTGACTACAAGAAACAGCCTATCAAAAGGGCTGGCAGCTGACTGTAGTACTGTGGTAGACCCACAAGATAGCAGTTTGATATCATAGTTCTAATCTGTGCAGCCTCCTAGCCTCATTCTGCTCTCTGTTAAAGCTGGCTGTGTGAAGCAAGGAAGGAAAAAGGGCAGGTCTTCCCAGCCCAGGGAAAGTGTTTCACACCTTGTTCTGAAGCTGCTGATGCAGCCTTTGGCCTGATGATACAGTTCTGGATGGCTCTGAGCCAACCATCACCTGGTTTCTATAAGCTAAGCTCATCCTCTGATGGGGCAGGGATATCTTCACATGATCTAATGCAGGTGCTCTTACCTGTAGTCCCTGTACACATAGGCAGGAGGCTCTTTCCAGCACTCTTGCCCCTCAGGATCCAAGAGACAATTGTCAGCGTGGACAGGATGACTAAGATCCATGCGACCTTCCTGCTCCCCTGAAAATATACAAAAAGGAATATAGGCATTTTCAGTTTCAAGAAAGAATAAAGCAGAGGGAAAGGGATACAGTGAGAATGTGCTCCTGAGAGCACATGGCTGGGAGTGAGGAGACTCTCTGGGAGGCAGGCACTAACAGGATGAAAGGTTCTTTACCATCTACAGCTCTGCGACACACAAGGTGTGTGAATGAAAAATGAAGTTTCTTTCCAGGAGTAAAATAGGACTCTATGATTTTCCGAGATTTCTCACTAGCCTGCAGAAGCAATTTGGCGTCCCTCCATTCCACGTCCCCATTTTGGGCCAGCTACAAGTGAAAAACAAGTCTGTTACAATACTTACAAAGACACTATGAAATGATACACGTACACATCACAGAAGAAGAGACCTTTGTAAAGTCATGTGGTCACTCAGGCAAGAAAGGAACACATTTTCTCATTCAATGATAACTCAGGAGTACAACTGTACAGCACAGTAATTATTTCCTTCTCCTTGGCCCATGAAGCCACATCTGTAAAGCTGCATAATTTTGGATGTCCCACTACACGAGAGATACTAAAAGACTGAAGTGAGCCTTGAATGAAGAGTCCCAAGATGGCAGGAATGTTTGAACACACGACTTAGAAAAACAGGCTGAAAGATTTGGCTTTCTTCAGTCTAAAGAAGAGAAGGCCAAAGGAACATCTAAGTACAGCCTCCTGTCCCCTAAAAGGGGATTGCAGAGGAGATGGAGACAGTGTCTCCTCAGAGAGACACACTGAAAAGAAGCAGCAGACCAAAGCTGCAGCATGGAAAATTTTGGCTAGATATGAAGAAAAATTTCACCCTCACAAGACTGGT